CTTGCGTCTCTGCAGTCCCGGTTGTCAGCAGATGGTCTTGTTCCCTCCATTAACTCCAAGTATGTGTTCTCATGCTTGGCTGTGGCTGAGTGCGTCTGCTGCTTGGGGAAGAGCCACATCCTTTCGCTTTCCCCAGGGGTCTTTGGCAAGAGGCAGGGCAGTTAAGAGCCGGTCCGTATCCGGCCCACGAACTCTGAGTGACATTAGCTCTGGCTTGTCTGTGAATGCAGTGGGGCTGTGGGCAGGCGAAGGCATTAGTACCCAAAACCACCCACCCTGCCCCGGAAGAGTCGTGCAGCGGGGAGAGCAGGAGCCCAGTGTCGGATGACTGTTTGGATCACTGCTCCCTCGCTTATTGGTATGTGACCCTGCGCAAGTGAGTCAACCTCGGAGCCAATTTCGTCAAATAGGGGTGTCTGTTTCTAAACTGCTGGGAAGAAGGTGGGCGGAGGCTCAGCAGCTAGCATGTGAGTCCCGGCACACGGCCTTCCCTGTTCTCCCCGCCGCGGGTTGGGGAGCTGGCGCTACAACAGCGCGCTCTCCCTTCGCTCCTGCCCAAGACGCCTTCCGCGTGGAAGGAGACCCACAGAGCTAGACGTGACACTGCAGAGAAGCCGCTCTTTCTGCTCACTGTGGCCCCAACCAAAGAAAGACCAGGCCCGTTGCCATCGCGTCAATTCCAACTCACAGCAACCCTGTAGGACAGAGTAGGACTGCCCCATAGGGTTTCCAAGGTTGTAATCTTTTGGGAAGCGGACTGCCACCACATCTTTCTCCCATGGAGCAGCTGGTGGGTTCCAATTACCGACCTTTCGGTTAGCAGCTGAGCACTTAATCACTGCACCACCAGGGCCTCTGTATTGCAGCCCTAAACCAAACCCCTTGCCATCGAGCTGATTCCAACTCAGCGATCCTATAGGACAGAGTAGAACTGCCCAATAGGGTTTTCAAGGAGTAGCTGATGGATTTGAACTGCCAAACTTTTGGTTAGCAGTTGAGCTCTTAACCACTGTGCCACCAGGGCTCCTGCAGCCCTTGGCAGAGGAAATTCGCCAGAGACAGCCTGGCCCAGGACCCAGCAAGTTTGTCCTGCTGTACACGGAGTAGCTGGGGCAAACGGAGCAGAGGTATGGGGGGACCCTCCCGGTCGTAGCCACCTCCCCTGCCGCCAAGCAGGCCCCACTGCCGTCCGCCTCCCTTCCCTGGACTGTGCCCTGTTCAGCCTCGGTGGCTAGCACAGCAGTGAGGCTCAGGAGCTGCTGATTGTTCGCCAGTCCAGTCGCCCGCCATCCAGTTTCCTGGCAATGAAGACTGACTGGCAGCCCTGCCCTCAGCGACAGACTGCTGTTCGTTTGTTCTGTCGTCGTTTTTATGAACCTTTTTCTCTGTCAGACGAGTGAGCAGCTTAGTGTGGCTGAACCCCCGCTGCAACCACTGTAACCTTCCCCAGCTGCCATGCTGTTGACCCTGCAATTTACGATCTCAGCTCTGGCCAGACCTGAATTTCTGCGTAACAGGCCCCAGGTACCCAGACCAAGCCTTAAGGCTGGCCGTTGTCTGAAAGGTGTCAGGAGGCCCAGAGCCCTTGGGCAACGTGAGGAGGCCCCGCAGTTCCCAGGGAGAGTGGGCGGGCTGCAGACTTCTGGAACGCAAGGATGGCTGGCGCAGTGGCAGCTGCTGGGGCTGGGAGGCACAGACCGCACTGGCACTGCCCTACAATGAACCGTGGCTGGCTGGCTGGCTGGCGCCCAAGAGAAGAGCTCATCGCTCATTCCTAAGGAGGAACAGACCCGCGCGGCCTGGGGCCTGCCCTCCTAGGCCAGACTCCTGCCATCTACTACATGGCATAGGCAGGGTTTTCCTTTTTTTGAGCTGCTTCCTCTGAGCCCTCCTTGTAGGAAGCCCCAGAAGATTTAAGCCAGCATCTGTTTTCTTTCCAAGCCACAGCTCCCTTCCGGCTGTCTCCGGGTAGGCCTTCACCTTCTCATCAGGACTGCTAGGCAGACTCGCAGCCAGAGAGCCGCCTCCAGACAGCCCTGCAGATTCCTGAGGCTGCAGCCTCTACCTTCCTGACGCCTGAGGAACCTGCTAATTCCCCTCCCCACCAGCCCTCGGACCCAGGAAGCGTATCTTGGCTCCAAGGGTCTGGTGGCAGAGCTTTTGTACAAACAGGGCAATTTCCTGAGATGGCAGAGCCTGTCTTGTTGAGGGAGCGTACGGGAGCCTCACAGGTTATGACTCCCAGGGCAAAGTTGGCAATTGCCACCATCTGCTTTGGTAGGAAGGGGGATGCCCCTGGCCTGAGGGGCCCCTCGGAGCAGGGAAGAGAGTGGGCACCAAGGGGCTTGAGCCCTGACACCCTTTCCACGTTGCCACCTAACGTCATAGCTGGCACAGAACTGGAAGGAGCCTTGGAGACCATTGAATCTCACACCTCTCAATCCACAGATGAGGAAGCAAGGGCCAGGCAGGGGAAAAGGCTCACCAAGGTCTGGGCAGGACGAGAAGCCAGGTCCTGGGCCTCCTGCCTCATCCGAAAGGAGGAGACAGGGCAGGGCCAAGGCCCGGGAAGACCGGAAGTTGGGGAGCCCTGGACAGCTTCCAGGTCAAAGCTGTCCAGTAGAAATACTGTGCGAGCCACAGATGCAGGTCAAGCTGTAACCTGTCCATTTTCTATAGCCACATTAAAAACGTAAACAGATGAAATTAATTTAAAAAAATACTATTTAACTCGACAAATTCAAAATAGCATTTCAATATGTAATCAGTATAAAAAAATCAGGTATTTTACATTTGTGTTTTTCATCCAAAGTCTTGGAAATGCACTGTGTATTTTCCACAAGGTACAACCCATCTTGATTCAGACCAGCCAAATTTTAAGTACTCACAGGCATGTGGGCCTCATGGCTGCGTGTGGGATGGCGTCAGCCCCATCCTGGCCTTCTAACTGAATGGGTTTTCTCCCTCTAGTGTTTCATACCCTACCTGTTTCTAGATGTTTCTCCAAAGGATGAGAGGCTAGAAATGAAGGATGAAGAGAGCCAGACCTCTTTCTTTGTTCCTGTGCTTTCTCCTGTATTTTATTCCTGCGGCCAGGACACTGCTCTGTGATCGGGGTAACCACTGGCCTGCAGCGACCGGCCGCCTGGAAACCTGGGCGTGCCTGCCCGCTGCCCACAAGCCTTATCTGGGTAGCAGGGCCTGATTCGGTTCGGCATTGGACAGTCACGCCAGGAATTCAGCTCTTGTTTTTCTTCCAGTGAATCAATCAGCCCTAATCTCGGGGGTGTGTGAAGGCCCCTACGGTGCTCATTTATTTCCAAGAGGCAAAGCTCGAATGTCCCAGGTCACAGCCTCCTCGCTGCCTTCCACCCCCTAGCCCTCTGCTAGCTCTGCAGGGCCTCCCCTGGACATCTTGTCCCTGCTGGCACCTGGGGAGGCAGCAGAGTGTGGCCTGGGTGACATCCTGTCTCGGCTCCCTGGGGCATGGCCATCACCTCCCAGTAGCAAAGATGAAGGACACCGAGCTAACTCCTCTCTGTGTCCAGGAGGGTGCGCTGGCTCCTGGAGCCAGCAGGCGTTTAAACGAACAGCCGCTTTCTCATAACAGCTGATTGCAGGCGCACTACTAGTAGTAAGAAGAAAATTGTCACCCAGGAATGAAGTGCGGAGGGGCTGGGGACGGAGGCTAGTGGCCTCTTGCCCAGGCCTTACATCTCTGGCTTCATCTCCCGACTCACACATGTCTGGCACGGAGGGCGCTGGAGACCTTCCCTGCTCAGGCGCCGGCTGACCAACCACTCTCCTTCTGTTTCCACTTGGCCAGGAGATGAGGGCCAAGTTCAGTGGCTTGTCCATGGGATGAGCCCAAGGGGACTCAGGCCTTCCCTGTCCAGTGGGGGGAATGGTCAGAGCCAGGCTGCTGTCCCCGGTCTCCCGTCTGCTGGGCCCTCATCTCCGCCCCCAGCAGTGGTCTGTCCCCAGCGAGGCCTGCCAGGACGGCTCCAGGGTGCCCAGCCCCCTCCTGCATATCTCCCCTCTCCCCTTGCTCCCCCTCGAACCCTTTTCCACCAAAACCGCTTGGTTTGCAGAAATGAGTCAGGAGGATGAGTCCAGCTCTGCGGAAGGGGCTTCTAGGGCTGAGACAGTGAAGTATGTTCAGAAGGTGGGTGGGCCATCCACCCGGCTCCTGGGGACCCTGGGGCTCTCATGGAAGGAAAAGCTCAACGAGCCAGCACCCCCAGCCACTCAATCTGACTTCATAAAATCCACGGGGGGCCATGTCCAAGGTGAGGTGAGCCGGAGGGGAGGCAGGCAGTAAACCCAAGCGCAGAGGCTTCCAAGTAGGCTCAGTTAGGCCCTGCGCATAGCAGTACCCGGTGGTGCCTGGGGGCCGGGGAGGTGGGAGGTGGACCCTCTGGAGTTGGTCTGAGAATCTGAGGGTCCCCGGCACGCTCGTCCTGCTGTGTCTGGCTCCAGAGCCACATACAGGTGAGCTGACACCTGGGGAGCCAGGCTGGGTGTGCCTGACTTTGAAAATCTTCATGGTGTCATTTGCCTGGCGGTGCGTGACCCCTGGCCGCCCCATCATGTCGGTGAGAACACGCGGCAGAGAACTGGGCACCGTGAGCAGGGAGCCTGGCTTCCCACCATCCCAGGGCTGCCAGGAGCCCGCCCCACCTCTCCCGGCGTGGGTGGGGGCCTGCCTGATGGCGGGGCCTCCTGTGCAGCGGGCGGGAGGCATTCATTAACCCCGAGCCCGCTCCACCTCTCCCTGGGGGCCTCCAGGGTTGAGCCGGTCTGTCCCTGGGCCTGCTTGCGTCTGTCTGGGGCCCTGTCCCTCCCGGCCAGCCGTTTCTCCAGCTGGGTGTGATCTCTGGGTGTGTGGGTGTAACAAGCCTTGACCTTCCTTGGGAGGCGGCAGCGTGGCTGCCCCGCCTCTAGGTGCTGCCCTTTCCTCCCAAACTGGTTGTGCTGGAGTGGGCGCGCCTGGGTGCATGCGCGGCAGCTCCGGGCTCTGCTCACCTGCAGCGGTGCCTCCCAGAAACTGCCTGGCCCCCGCGCCTGCGCCCCACCTCACCAGAGCCAGCTGCCCGGCCAGCAAGGACGTACGCCGCTGCCTGCCACCCACGCCAGCTGAGCCCAGCCTGAGCCGGCACGGACTTCACCACCATGTTCAAGGGGCTGAGCAAAGGCTTCCAGGGGAACGGGTCCCCCAAAGGCTCCCCAGCCAAGGACTCCCCCAAGGGGTCCCCCAGCAAGCACAGCCGGTGAGCAGCGCCAGGCAGAGGGTGGCTGGGGCGGGGGTGGCGCCCAGGCACTCCGGCTACCTGGAGGCGGCAGCCAGCAGGAGCCCAGGACCAGCCCAGCGCTCGCATTTGGTATCCCCAGGCCAAAGGGCCCAAGGGCGGTGCTCTCCCGGCTGGGAGCTGCTGGCCCAGGCCCGACTCCAGCCCTGGCAAGGGGTGGGGGTATTGCAGTCTAAGCCTTCTTGCTTGTCCAGGGGGCCTGAGGCCCAAGGCTGAGGCCGCTAGGGGAGAGGTGCTGGACAGGGCCTGAGCAGATGTCTGCCTCTGTGGGCAGCTGGAAGGCTGGGGCGCCTGGCTCCCTCCCCACAGCCCTGTCCCTGGCCTCAGCTTAACCTGGGAAATGACCTGGGGACCTGGGGGCCTGGGCACAGGGTGGGCCCAGAGAAGCTGAGTACGGGGTGCCTGGGGGCAGGGAGGCAGGGGCTATGCTGCCCTCCTGCCGAGCTGCAGCTTTTCCTAGAGTTCTCACTCAGGCCTTGGGATTTTAGGGTAACTGCTTTACTGAGTGGATGTATGAAGGGGGTGCTGTGGTGCAAAGGGGAGGTTCCCGCGGCCTGGGGCACCCCCAGAGCCTCCCTTAGCCCCCCCTTCCCCCTCACACCGAGGGCCTGTGGGCAGCTCTCTGCTGGGGCCCAGTCTGCATGACAGCTGGGGGCAAGGGCCTTGGGCTCCTGGGTTCCCCCACTCAGAAGAATTGGTGGATGTTCTTCCCACCCACTAGGCCCCAGCCCCCTCTGCAGGGTGGAGGTGGAAGGTCACCTGGCGTCCAAGATGAGAGCAGAGATGAAATGCTGGAGCTGAGGGTGTGGGGGGCCCATTACTCTGATAGGGATCAGGTGACAGCACCCAGCTGGGTGTCTGGGCGGATGGGAGAGGCGGCAGCTAAGACTCGCGATGGAGTGACCTGTCCTCCCTGGGGCACCTGAGCCCTACCCAGGGTGGGATATGCCCCTCCCGGCAGGAGCAGCCCTCCCAGGGGGCCAGACCGAGGACCAGGCACCAGGACTCAGCACCCGAGGCCCCCTCCCCAGGCAGGGCCACTGGGTGGGCTTCCTGGCTGGCCATCAGTCTAGGGGGCCGTGCTGGCTCTGGCTGCATACAGCCCCCTAGAGAGGACCCATCATTCTCCTCACATGCAACCCACTCACTCAACAAGCACTTATTGAGCACCTACTATTCTACGCACTGGGGGTGCCACTGTAAACAGATCCGACAGCCTTTAAGGCACGTACTAGGTGCTGGCTTTGCGTTAGGACCTGTACTAAAGGCTTCAAATGCACTAATTCTTGTAACACACAGTAACCCTTTGAGGTAGGTATTATTAAAGCCCTACTTTCAAGTGAGGCAGCAGAGGCACAGAGAAGTTAGGTAACTTGCCCAAGGTCACACAGCAGTAGTGAGGGATAAGGCTGAAACACAGGCCATCTGGCTACAGAGTTCCTTCCAATTGCTATGCCTTCACTGGCTGCCCCTCTGCCTGGGAGTCCCACTGTTTGACCCCTGGTTCAAATCCCAGCTCAGTGGAGCCTTCCAGCCTCCCTCCCCCAGGACAGTTCTGTGACCCCACAGGGCGCTGTGTCTTTTATGAGGTCTGCTGGACCCCGTAACCACTATGCAACAGGCCCTCTGTAGAGGTTCCAGAGTGAATGCATAGAAAAGGACCCTGGGGCCCAGCCTAGGTGCATGCCCTCTCCTGACAAGCTGTGTGGCCCAGAGCAAGCCAGGTCCCAATCTGGGCCTTGAACCCCGAATCTGGAGAAGGTAGGGGTGCCCCGGCAGTCTGTGGGCTCCCCTTGCTCCAGCGCCGTGTGGCTCTTCCAGATGGTTGCTAATGCCTGGGTAAAGCCCTGCGGGGCTCAGGGCTGGTATGCATGGGAGCACATGCTGCTGTTCTGTCCCCAGCGAGCCCGGCCACCTCGCCCAGGGCCCCGCCTCGCTGTCTCGGGTGTTAGCGGCTGAGCCAGTGATTCACTGGCTCCCTGGGCCACCAGCCTGCCAACCGGAGAAAGTGGATAGGGAGCTGGGCAGGTCTGGAGCTTACTGTTAGGACAGCTGGTGGTGGCTGGGGCGCCTCTTCCTCCACGTATCCCACACAGCTAGGACGGGGGTCCTGGCTTTCTGAACTCTCGTGCTGGGGTTGGTGTCCCCTCCCCTCAACCCAAGGAGTCGGTGTCTCAGAGCTTCTTGCCAGGGGGAGACCACAGAGCACCCCCAGGACATGGGTTCCGCCCTCCCAGACAGTGGGCCTGGCTGCAGGGTGGCAAAGGGCAGAGGTGGCTCAGGTGACTCACCTAGGGGGGCAGAGCTCCTTCCCAAGGGGAACAGAGGGGCCTTTGCTCACCGTGGTGCCCTCTGTCCACCGCCGCCCACCAGGGCTGCCACCCAGGAGCTGGCCTTGCTCATCTCCCGCCTGCAGGCCGCTGCCGACCGCGTGGAGAGGTGCATCTTGGAGACCCAGAAGAGGCTGCAGCAGGTGAGGTTGCAGAGCTGATGGCCAGTGCAGGGGGCAGCTGGACGGCCCGAGGAGGCCCCATGCCATGCCTGATGACTTCTGGGGCTGCACACCGGTTCTGCCCTTCTCCTGCTCACTAGTGATGGTGGAGGTGGGACAATACCCCCAGTTCACTGCCCACACCCCCTGTTGCTCCTCAGACCCCACAGTGGAAGAGGGCTCAGCCTACCTTCTCTGTTGGGCTCCCAATGTTGGGGGCCAAAGGGGTCTGGGGAGGGGGCCCAGGCCCACAGATGCCCTGGGCCTTGAGGTACGGCTGAGATCCCCTCAGGGTGGGACTTAGGCCTGCAGAGACGGGCAACAAGAATGTGGGGGCCTCTGGGCCCTGATGAGGACCCGCCTGTCCCGGCCACGCCCCCAGGACCAGCAGAAGAGCGAGCGCAGCCAGCCCCTGCAGCACAAGCAGGAGACAGGCCGCAACCTGAAGGAGGCGGAGATGCTGCTCAAGGGCCTCTTTCTGGACATGGACAAGGCCCGACGGCTCAAGCACCCACAGGCCGAAGAGATTGAGAAGGAGTGAGTGGGGTGGTGCCAGGAGGCAGTGGGGGGCCCTAGGAGACCCCAGCCCAGCCTGACACCCCCCGTCCGCCTCTCCACAGCATCAAGCAGCTGCATGAGCGGGTGACCCAGGAGTGTGCGGAGTACCGTGCCTTGTACGAGAAGATGGTGCTACCGCCCGACATGGGGCCCAGGGTGGACTGGGCACGCGTGCTGGAGCAGAAGCAGGTAAGACCCCCCACTGAGGTCTGAGCTGCCCTCTCAGAGCCCCGAGTCCTTCCCTACAGGGATCAGAGAACAGTCCAGAACTAGCTGCCTTTAAACACGGGCGTGCTGGGACCTGTGGATGGTTTGGAGGCCTGAGAAGGCAGAGAGCAGAGGAGACTGCGTTTAGGGAAGGCCTCCTGTACGAGGGGGCCTGCAAAGGGGTGGACTGGTGAGGAGAGAACATTTCAGAAGGAAGAACAAAGATTCCTGCTGGGAGGAGGCCTGGGGTGGGATGGGAAGTGGGGTTCCCTGAGCAGGTGGGCAGAGCCGGGTCACAGGGCACCCTGAACATCAGGTAGGGAGTTGCTTTTTGATGCCACAACCGAAGGGGTGTCGTGGTGACAACGAAGGGACAGTGGGGGAGAGGAGGGGCAGAGCAGGGCGTGCACAGATGGCTGGAGGTGTCCAGGCAGGAAGCAGTGAGGCGGGCCCGGGGAGGAAGCAGGGAGGGAGGGGGCTTTTCAGAGGCTGAGCCCCAGTCCTGGGACCAGTGGGACCCAGGGAATGCAGCCAGGGTCGCTGGAGAGTGGCATGTCCCCCGGGTGAGCTGCAGGCCTCTCACCTGGCTGCTCACCTGCCTCCCATCCTCTGCCCGGATGATCCACTCCTCCTCCCGGTGAGGATGTGGGAGAGTCCGGAGGGCGCTGTGGGAGGGGTTCTCTGGGCCCTGCACCCCGCCTGCTGAGCGCTGGCTCCTCCTGTAGAAGCAAGTGTGCGAGGGCCAGTATGGGCCAGGCATGGCGGAGCTGGAGCGGCAGGTGGCCGAGCACAACATCCTGCAGAAGGAGATCGAAGCCTACGGGCAGCAGCTGTGGAGCCTCGTGGGGCTGGTGGGTGCGCCAGCCCTGCCCCTTCCAGCCCCCTGTCCCATCAGAGTCAGAGCTAGGCCCCCGATGGCCTTGGGGAGAGGGATGGAGGACGAGGGCCCCGGGGTGGGCTCTCCCTGCACCCTGCCTCTCACTGGGCCCATGTTTTCTCCCCCTTGGTTGAGGTAGGACGCAGCTACCATCAGAAGCCAGTACCAGGACCTGCTGGTGAGCAGTGAGGAGGGTGGGGCCAGGAGGCCAGGGTGACAGGGTGACCGTGGGCAGGCTGGGTCCCAGAGGCTGGGTATACAGGGTGACAGAGGGCAGGGTGGACCAGGAGGCCGGGGTGACAGGGTGACTGTGGCGGAGTGCGCTGGGAGCCTGGCTGATAGTGCTTCTTGCCACCCCCTCTCTCCTCTTGGGCCGGCGCTTGCTCACTGTGCTGAGTGCAGAAGGCGGCCTCATGGCGTGGCCAGAGCCTGGGCAGCCTCTACACACACCTGCAGGGCTGCACGCGGCAGCTGAGCACACTGGCCAAGCAGCAGCAGCACATCCTGCAGCAGGACTGGAGCGACCTCATGGCCGACCCTGCGGGCATGCGGCGGGAGTACGAGGTCCGGGGGCTGGGAGCGGGGCGCGGGGGGTGTGAGTGACAAGGACTGACCTGGTCCTGACTGCCCGCACGCGGCCTCACCCAGCACTTCAAGCAATATGAGCTGCTGAGCCAGGAGCAGAGCGTGAACCAGCTGGAGGACAACGGGGAGCGTATGATAGAGCTCAGGCACCCGGCCGTGGGGCCAATCCAGGTGCAAGGCCTGACCCTCCTACTGCCTCGGGGACCACATGGGGCTTCCGGGAGACTGGGGGCAGAGAGAGAGACTGCCAGATGGAGCACAGTGGGCAGGGGGCAGATGGACAGGCGGGCGTGGTCCGAGGCTCTGTGCTGCTGTCCCCAGGCCCCTGGGGGCGGAGAGAGAGACGACCGGATGGAGCACAGTGGGCAGGGGGCAGATGGACAGGCGGGCGTGGTCCGAGGCTCTGTGCTGCTGTCCCCAGGCCCACCAGGAGACCCTAAAGATGGAGTGGCAGAACTTCCTGAACCTCTGCATCTGCCAGGAGAGCCACCAGCAGCACGTGGAGGCCTACCACCGGGTGAGCCCGCGGGCAGGGCGGGTGGGCAGGCTCAGGGCCGGGCTGGGCACCAGTACCAACTACCTTCGAGCCAACTCCAACTCATGGTGACCCCGTGTGTGTCAGAGTAGGACTGTGCTCCACAGGGTTTTCAGTGGCTGATTTTTTGTGTGTGGATTTGATCCTCCAACCTTTCGGTTAGCAACCAAGCATGTTAACCATTTCTACACCCAGAGACTCCCTCTGTTACCGGCAAGACATCTCATAAATAAAACAGCTTTGTGATCGTGACTTGGCCCCAGAAGGAAATGATATCCTGCACACACTCTCAACAGGGGCGCTATCGTCCCCAGGGGTGTGACAATTGGTTCTTGGGAGCGGAGACGATCTTACTCTTTTTATGTATGAAGCACAGATATACATATAGTTGTTGCTGTGTGCCGTCGAGTCGATTACGACTCATAGCAACTCTGTAGGACGGGGTAGAGCTGTCCCATAGGGTTTCCTAAGCTGTCATCATTGCAGGACCAGATTGCCAGGTCTTTTCTCCTTTGAAACAGCTGGTGGGTTTGAACCACTGACCTTTCGTTTAGCAGCCAAGCACTTAACCACTACACCACCAGGGCCCCTTAAACATGTAGTGCATAAACATACACAGTGTGTGTGCTAGTTATACCTCACGGAGACAAGGGGGATGTTGGAAAAATCGTCTAGAAGGCCCCTTCGGGGACAATAATGAAAACAGGGCCAAGAAACACTGATATAATGTACAACTGTTTTTGTTTTTTCTTTTCAAATTTTTACCTCAGCTGTTTCATACAGTTTGGAGAGAGACAAAAGCCAAGGATTTCTCTCTCGTGCTTGTTCTGTTCTGGGGGCATTTTCACACCCACTGGTGGTCCTTCCAAAATACCATCCAACAGTGCGGTGTTACCTTAAAGCCCGTTTCCAGCTCCTGCCGCGAGGCTGGGACAAGTTAGCCCACAAACACGCCCCACAAACAGCTGGTTTGGGTTTAGCCAGTTTAGGGTTAGTTGGTTTGGATTTCATTGGGTTGGGTTCGGTAAGTTCAAGTTTACCAGGTTTGGGTTTAGCCAGTTTGGGTTCAGCCTGGGCTGGGTTCAGGCTGTTTGCGTTCAGCTCAGGTTGGGTTCAGCTCAGGTTGGGTTCAGCTGGTGAGCAGGAGCAGCGGGCAGCAGACAGCAGGTAGCAGGCTGCCCTGGGCTTGGCCTTGACCACCTGCACCCTCAGTTCCAGGAAGAGGCCAGCTCAGTCAGCCAGACCCTGGCGAAGCTCAACTCCAGCCTGGACACCAAGTACAGCCTTGCTCCAGGGGGCCCACCTGGTGCCCGCACAGAGCTGCTTCAACAGCTGGAGGTGAGACGGCCCCACCCAGCCACCTTCCCCCCGACTGCACCCCACTGCTGGGCATCCGGCCTGTCTGTCTGTTTGAGCCTCCCCCTTTCCCCTCCCAGGTACGCAGTCCTGCCCTGAGCCCAGGCCTGGGGGCAGGAGAAGGGAGTCTGCTCCCAGCTCTGTAACCAGCAAATCCACCCTCTCTGGCTGTCAGTTCCCTCACCTGTAATGGGAGGGAGGTGCCTGGGACAGCTCTGAGGCCCCTCTGACTCCTACTCTGGAAGCCTGGGTGCTGGGAAGCCCACACCTCAATCACAGACCCCAGGGCCCCGGCCCCCCAGCGAGGGGCTCCTTTCACCTTGCTGACCTAGAGACCCTGCCATCGGGGAGGCAAGGTGTGGGAAGATGTGGGCCGGGGCTCAAGTGGAGCCTGAGCCCCCACTGCCTGCACTGGCAGGCAGAGGAGAAGCAGCTGGCAGTGGCCAAGAGGACCGTGGGGGACCTGCAGCGGCAGAGCCAGGAGGTGGCACCTCTCCCCCTGCGCAGGAGCCCGCCCCAGCAGCCCCTGCACGTGGAGAGCATCTGCGACTGGGACTCGGGAGAAGTACGGGCTGCGGCTGCCCTGGCCTTACCCAGCTCCACTCCTCTCCAAGCCCTGCCCTCCCCTGACCTGTTCCCACCCCGTCTTGCCTAGGCCCCTTCTGCCTGTCCCCCTGCCTGAGCCCCTCTCTACCTGCCCCCAGGTGCAGCTGCTGCGGGGTGAGGGCTACACACTGCTGGACAACTCTCACCCGCACACCTGGGTCGTTCAGGGCCCCAACGGGGAGACCAAGCACGCCCCGGCCGCCTGCTTCCGCATCCCGGCTCCAGACCCTGACGCTGTGGCCAGGGCTTCCAGGTGGGCCACCCCCACGGTCACCACAGTGACACTCAGGGACAGGAGGCAGGCCGAGGGCCCAGGCCAGCCTTGTGGTGTCTGAGGTCCCCTGCCCAAATGCCACCCCCACCCCAGCAGGGAGTGCGGAAAGGAGGCAGGCCCCCCTCTGATCTCCTCCTCATTCTAGGCTGGCCTCGGAGCTGCAGGCCCTGAGGCAGAAACTGGCCACCGTCCAGAGCAGCCTGAAGATCAGCATTGCGGAGCCCGAGCGGCCAGGCCAGCAGGGTGCCAGGGGCCGGCTAGGGTGTGGGGTGTGGGCATAGAGAGAGTATATGTCTACTTCAGTCACTGCTGGGGGGCTGCAGTGGGCAAGGGGTGGCCCTGGGTTAGCAACATCACCTCCAGGGTTGGCAAGCCCTTGGGGCCACCTCTCTCACTCTCGACCCCACCCCACATAGGCCTCTCTTTGGCCACTCAGGGAGAGGCCCCTTGGGCAGACACAGGGTAGGCCCTGGACCCTTACCAGCACCCTGTGCCCCCAGCTCCGACCAGCTTGGCCCCAGCCGAACCACAGGCTCAGAAACTCCTGATGCAGATGACCCGGCTGGATGGGGACCTGGCACAGATAGAGAGGCAGGTGCAGGCCTGGGCCCGGACCCCACTGAGCCGCACCTCACCCCTGGAGGACCTGGAGGGGCGCATCTGCAGCCACGAGGTAGGTGAAGGCAAGACGGGTAGGTGCACACACTTTAGTGGGGGACGAGGCACAGGCCGGAGCAGCTCTGGGACTGGGACGGGCAGAGCGGGGAGAGCCCAGGGCTCAGACAAGCTGGGTCCCAGCCCCTCCACGGCCAGCTCCGTGCATGACCTTGGGCAAGCCCTGTAGCCCCTCTGCGCCTCAGTATTCTCATCCCTGACACAGACATAATACTACCCAGCTCGGTTGTGCGGAGGATGAAATGTGGTAACGTCTGGGAAGGTTCTAGAAGGGGCCGGACCAGAATCAGGGTGTCCTGATGAGGGCCGCGAGGAGCCCGGAGCACCTAGGCTCTAGGGGGGAAGGCCTCCTGGAGAGGCTGCAGTGTCGTGCAGACACCTCTAGCAAAGCAGAATACGTTCTTTGCAGCTTGAGCTCCACGCTCCTGAAGAGCTGGGCATGAAGCTGCCCCTTGCCCACACCTAGGGGAGCAGTCTGGGTGATCTCTTCCAGACCAGTTTCTGTTCAAGTATATTGTCTGTGCTTGATTTTCAAAAAAGCGGATCATGTCGTTCATGTTAATATGCAACTTGTTACTTCCGCTCACTCCCCACTGTGCTGTCCATCGATATTAGGAGTCATGTTTCCGCTGGGCCAGGGGGCGCGGTGGGGGCGGAGGTGATTTCAGAGGCAGAAAAGGGTGAGCTTGCGTGTGTGTTGCAGGTTGGGTCCTGGGATGGAGATGAGCGAGCAGGGGAGGGAGCCTGTGGAGCGGGACGGAGGCAGCACTGCAGACGGAGACGCTGCCCTGTGAGGCAGTCTCTGAGGCCAGTTCCAGGGAGCTCTGGGTAGGGGAGGGCTGAGCCTTTACACCAGTGTTCCTGAGTCACTGTTCACGAGATGCCCCTCAGCCTGGCGAACCCCACAGCGAGCAGCGTTGAGGGCTGCTTCCTGGCAGCACCTGAGCGGCTGGGGGGAGTATGTCTTTGGGTCCTGAAGTCCCAGCGTCTACCACATCAGGGGTGTCGAGAGGCCATGAGAAGTTTGATGGGAGTGTAGGCAGTGTCTCCTTGTCATAACTTGTGGAAAAGATGAATGAATGATTGAGAAGAGGAATGAATGCAGATAGAGCTAGGGCTTGGCTGCCTCATCCTGGAGTGACGAGGTAGGGGCCTGAAGGTTTTGTGACCAGGTGACAATAGTACGTAATTGAGTGCCTGATGCTGCTAAGGATCTCATTTACTCCTTCCATCGACTCATTCTGTAGACGAAGAGACTGAGGGTCAGAGAGGCTGACTTGCCCAAGGTCATCCACATGGTAACTAGCAGAGCCAGGACTGTTCCTGCTTCTCTGGCCCTGAGCCCAAGCACATAGCCGCCAAGCTCTCCTGCCTCCATGGGGGCGGAGGGGGGTTGACCTGGCAGGAGGGCTGGGCAGAGTCTGTCTCTTCCATGTGGACCAGAGCAGAGATCCTGACCCCCGCCCGCCCCTGCCAGGACACAGCCCAGCACCTGCAGAGCCTAGGAGCTGAGAAGGAGGTGGCCCAGCAGGAGTGTGAGGCGTTCCTGTCGGCGCGGCCTGTGGGTCCCACTGCCCTGCAGCTGCCCGTGGCCCTCAACAATGTCAAAAACAAGTACAGCGACGTGCAAGTTCTGTGCAATCTCTACAGGGACAAGTGAGTGCCGGGGACAGGGCTGCGGTGGGTAACATGGTGTGGCTGAAGGCTGCCTGACCCTCCCCTATGTGCAGAGCCAAGGCTGCCCTGGGTCTGGAGCGGCAGATCCGGGATGCGGACAGGATCATCCGGGGCTTCGAGTCTGCCCTGGCCCAGGAGGCCCCCATCCCCGATGGCCCGGGCGCGCTGCAGGAGAGGGTCAGCGAGCTGCAGGTGAGGCCCAGGCTCTGCAGGTGGAGGGCAGACAGGGCGTCTCGCCAAACCACTGAGGGTGCATCGCGGCTGTGTCCCCCCAGCACCAGCGGAGGGAGCTGCTGGAGCAGCAGGCCTGCATGCTGGGGCTGCACCGCGAGCTGAAGGCAGCCGAGCGCACGTGTGGTGCGCTGCAAAACAACTTCTGTGAGTTCTGCCAAGACCTGCCGCGCCAGCAGCGCCAGGTGCGGGCCCTCATTGACCGCTACCACGCCGTGGGGGACCAGGTGGATCTGCGGTGAGTGCTGGGCTGCCAGGCACGTGGCACAACCCCACGGTGGGCAGGCTGGGTGCTGCCGCTGACAAACTGTCCTTGGGCTGGTGACTTAACTTCTCTGAGGCTCAGTTTCCCCACCTGTGAAATGGGATGATAGCAGTACCTGCCTCCCAAGCTGGTAGCTGCCAGGCAGAGGCTATCAGGACACAGAGTAGGGAGAGCACAGTGGGTCACTGAGGCCTCCTGACCTGTCCCAGGAAGGGAGGCACCCCCCAGCCACCTCCCTGAACCCCTCACCTGTTCCCAGAGGGCAGCTCTCACTTCTGCTCTGGCCTCGTCCCCCTGCAGGGAGAAGATGGTGCGGGATGCCGGCCTCACCTACCAGCAGTTCAAGAACTGCACGGACAACCTGAGCTCCTGGCTGGAGCACCTACCCCACAACCAGGTGGGGCCCCACGATGGGCCCAGCCACATTGCGTACAAGCTCCAGGCGCAGAAGGTACGGGGCCTGGGCTGCAGGTGACCTGGGGGCCCTGCCCAGAGCTGGGTCTCAAGCCATCTCTCTGGCCGCCTCCTCCACAGGGCAGCTGCCTGTGCGCGTGTTGCCCCCTAGTGACCAAGGCTCAAAAGTGCTTTGGGTGAGGTGTCTACGAGTCGATTGTAACTCATAGTGATCCTATGAGACAGAGTAGAACTGCCCCATAGGGTTTCCTAGGCTGTCATCTTTACGGGAGCAGATAACCAGATCTTTCTCCCGCTGAGCTGCTGGGTGGGTTTGAACCGCCAACCTTTTTTTTTTTTTTTAATTTTTTTTTATTGTACTTTAGATGAAGGTTTACAGGAACAGATAATTTCTCATTAAACAGTACACATATTGTTTTATGACATTGGTTAACAACCCCATGACATGTCAACATTCTCCCTTCTCGACCTTGGGTTCCCTATTACCAGGTTTTCTGTCTCCTCCTGCCTTCTAGTCCTTGTCCCTGGGCTGTGTGTGCCCCATGAGACTCGTTTTGTTTTATGGGGCTGTCTAATCTTTGGCTGAAGGGTGAACCTTGGCAGTGACTTCATTACTGAGCTAAAAGTGTGTCCAGGTGCCATACTCTCGGGGTTTCTCCACTCTCTGTCAGGCCAATAAGTGTGTGAACCTCCAGCCTTTTGATTAGCAGCCAAGTGCTTAATCTTTAAGCCATTAGGGCTCCTTAAAGGTCTGTAATGCAGTGGCCAGGAATTGAACCCAGGCCGCCCGCGTGGCAGGTGACAGTTTTACCACTGCATCACCCATGCAAGCAGGGGGCTCTTCAAAGGTCAGAGCACCCAGGCCTCAGGTTCGCACACCCCACGCTCCCACCCTGAAATGCTCCCCCTTTCCCACATAAGCCCCCAGCCCGTCTCTGTCTGGTCCAAGGTGGGCGGTGAGCTTCACGCTCAGGCCGCAGAGTTGCTAGGACTTCCAGCCACTACTGCATTCTCCTCCTCATACTGTCAAACCCCTGCTTGGTGCTAAGGGCACAACCAGGGACTGGGGGACCAGCCCACCTCTCAGGCAGCTCCCAGTCAGGTGGGGAGGACGATAGGTCACAGGCCACAAGGCGGATTAGCGCTTCTGTGGAGGAGTTCAAAGTGCTGTGGGCGCCCACTGCCGGGCATGGCTGGGGTCAGAGAAAGCGGTCTGGAGGAGCCAGCACCCACCCCGAGACCTGAGGGATAAATCAAGTAGCTGTGGGGGGCAGGGAGTGAAATGTCCCAAGCAGAGGCACGGTGGGTCAGGGGACAGGAATGACTAGAGGTGAGGACCGGGTGGTACAGCCTTTGCAGGACACAAGAAGATGCTGGACATCATCCTGAGGGCACTGGGAAGCTGCTGGGAAGGGACCCTTCAGATTTCTGTGTACCAGGGTCGCTCTGGCTGCCCAGTGGACATGGCTGAGGAGGGGCAGGGCTGAAAACAGGGAGACACGTAGGAGCCAGGGGAAAATCCAGGCGAGAGGATGGTGCGCGGACGGATGGGAAAGGGCTCCTAGGGGGTGGAAGAGGTGGGTGGATTTCAGAGATGCAGATGGCAGCATTGGAGAGGTCCCGGGCTGCCCAGGGTTCTGTCTGGGACACTCAGGAAGAGGGGGTACCCCCACCTGAGGTGGGGAAGGCAGGAACAGAGTGCATTTGGGGAGAAGGAATGAAGTTAGTTGGGGTCGAGTTGAGTGTGAGGTGCCAAGGCGAGGTGGGGAGTTGGATCTGTGGGAGGAAGGTGTGGGCTGCGAGTCCCGTTGCGGGGGCTGAGGGCAAACAGCTGGGTCCTAGGGCTGCGGGAGATTGAGAGCATCTAGGGAGAGAGTAGAGGTTACGCCAGGAAGAGGGCCTGGGACGGAGACTTGCAGCCCTGGCTGCAGATTAGAATCACCTGGGAGCTTTCAAAACACTCCCATGCCAGGAGCCACCCCAGACCAATTAAATGGGACTCACTGGGGCCGGGGCATCAGCATCTTTAAGAAGTTCCCCAGGTGATTACAGGAATAGTGATTCTCAAAGAATGGTCCCTGGACCAGCAACATCAGCATCACCAGAGAACATGTCAGAAATGTCAGTTCTCAGGCCCCACCCCAGACCTCCTGCATCGGACACTCTGAGCGTGGGCCCAGCAATCTGTTGTAACAGACCCTCCAGCTGCTTCTGAGGCAGGCTCACGTCTGACAACCGCTGTGCTCGAACAGAACTCTGAGGGGCACTAGGCAGAAGAACAGGACTCTGCTAAAGAGAGGAAGGGGGAAAACCAGGAGAATGGGGTCGAGGAGAGAGGGACTGCCCGTCCAGGCCTCCTGTCCCTCGGTTCCTACCCTGGGCCACACTGGCTGCCTGGGCCCAGATGGAGGGCAGTCAGGGGGAGCGGCTTCCTTGACTCCTGTGTCTTCGCCGGCAGAGGTTGGTGCAGGAGATCAAGGACCGAGAGCGGGACAGGGCCATGGCATTCCGCCTCTCCCAGGACCTGCAGGCAGCTCTCCAGGTAAGCGGTTTTATGTCAGTTTGTCCCTCTTTGTCCATCTACCCTCCCTCCCTCTTCCAGGCCCCTGCTCCCCCACACCCAGCTTCCCCCACGGACTTCAGCCTGTTGTCCTTTCCTCCCTGCTCAGGACTATGAGCTGCAGGCAGACACCTACCGCTGCTCCCTGGAGCCCACCCTGGCAGTGTCAGCCCCCAAGAGACCCCGAGTGGCTCCTCTGCAGGAAAGCATCCAGGCCCAGGTGAGACAGAACCCGGCAGGGGTCAGCGTCCCTCAGCACCAGCTCCACGTCTCCGAGGCAGGCGCTGACTCTGCCTCCCTGTCCCTCTCGTGCCGTCACCAGGAGAAGAACCTGACCAGAGCCTATACTGAGGCGGCAGCCGCACACCAGCAGCAGCTGCAGCAGCTGGCGTTTGCCGGAAGGATGCTGGAGAAGGTACAGAGACAAGGCCCACTCCGTTCCCGCAATAGCCAGCCCGGGCTGGTCGTTAACCTGGGAGTCTTCCCTCCCTCCTCAGCCTGCAGCCTCCAGCCTCTGGGCAGGCTCAGCAGACTGAAGGAGCTGCCTCTCCCTGCCCCACACCCATCTCTCCCCGTCAGTTCTAACAGGCTGGTATCCATCCTAGAGGTAGGCCCTGGGGATGTCATTCAGTGTGACGATGCTTAGCTACTGGGAAGTCCTCCAGTGGGGCCAGACCTCTTACCCAGGAGAGCAGAGAAAATCCTCAAAAGCCTTCAGCCCTGGGACCCAGTCCGCACTGGGTAAGAGGCCACCAAAATCTCCATCCCTGGGAGACCAGGAGCCAGGAGCTCTCTTGGTGACTGACCGGAGGACTTGCCAGCCTTCTGTGACCCTCAGCCATACTCCAGCACCCCTGGAGGAGTATGGGGCCCATTTCTGGGAGCCTGCATGGAAGGGGAACGGGAGGGGTTTGGAAGGGAGAAGCTGCACTGTCTACACTTTACAGAGCAGACTTGGCCTGAACATCCGAGCCTCATGGGCATTTCCCGGGCCCTCTCCAGATCCTGCGTCCAAGCATCTCAGGTCTTCAGCATCATCTCCCAGGACCTACCAGATAGTCTCTGGGAGCAGGGAAGGGTCTCTGATATCAGAAGGGGATGGAAAGATAGGGCTCATCCCTTTCCTCCCCCTCACCCCAGTACCCTCCCCTTCTTCCACTCTCTTGGCAGAAGGAGCTCAGTGAGGACATCCAGGTGACCGATGATGCAAAGCAGGGGTCCGAGAGCTGGGCACAAGCAGGGCGGGAGTCGGAAGCGATGATGTCCCAGCTGGAGGAGGAGAGGAAGCGGGTGGCCCAGGTGCAGTGCGAGCTGGAGAAACAGAGGGACCGGCTGCTACAGCTGAGGACCCAGCGGCCCTTGGAGAGGCTGGAGGAGAAGGAGGTGGTGGAGTTCTACCGGGACCCCCAGCTTGAGACCAGCCTATCCAAGGTCAAGTCCCAGGTGGAGGATGAGAACAAGAAACGAGCTGGCCTGCAGGCAGACCTGGAGGCCATGGCCCAGAAGGTCGTCCAGCTGGAGAGCAAGAGGAAGACCATGCAGCCTCATCTGCTGACCAAGGAGGTCACCCAAATCGAGCGGGACCCCAGCCTGGACAGTCAGGCAGCCCAGCTCAGCAGTGAGATCAGGCACCTCCAGGGGGAGAACACCGCCATCTCTGCCCGGCTGGAGGAGCTAAAGAAGGAGCTGCTGACCCTTGAACAGAAAGAGGCAAACGTGAAGGAGAAGGTGGTGGTGAAGGAAGTGGTCAAGGTGGAGAAGGATCTGGAGATGGTCAAGGCGACCCAGGCTCTGAGGCTGCAGATGGAGGAGGACGCCGCACAGAGGAAGGCGGCTGAGGAGGCTGGGGCCAAGCTGCGGGCTCGCATAGAAGAGCTGGAGCGAATGATCAGCTCCATGGAGCCAAAGGTCATCGTGAAAGAGGTGAAAAAGGTGGAGCAGGACCCTGGCCTTCTTAATGAGTCCTCCAAGCTGAGAAGCCTCCTGGAGGAGGAGAGGAGCAAGAACGCGGTGCTGGCCCGGGAGCTGAAGGAGCTGCGTGGAAAGCACAGCGAGGTGGAGAAGCAGAAGCCCAAAGTGGAATTCCAGGAGCGGGTCCTCCAGATCTTCCAGGTGGACCCGGAGACGGAGCAGGAGATTGCGCGGCTCCGAGCGCAGCTGCAGGAGACTGCCGGCAAGCGGAGTAGCACGGAGAAAGAGGTGGAGAGGCTGCTGCCTGACCTGGCTGTGCTGCGGGCCCAGAAGCCCACCGTGGAGTACAAGGAGGTGACGCAGGAGGTGGTGAAGCATGAGAGGAACCCCGAGGTGCTGCGGGAAATCGACCGGCTGAAGGCCCAGCTCAACGAGCTGGTCAACAGCAGTGGCCGGTCCCAGGAGCAGCTCATCCGACTGCAGGGTGAGCGTGACGAGTGGAGGCGGAAGCGCTCCAAGGTGGAGACCAAGACGGTGAACAAGGAAGTGGTGCGCCACGAGAAGGACCCTGTCCTGGAGAAGGAGGCTGAGCGGCTGCGCCAGGAGGTGCGGGAGGCGGCCCAGAAGCGGCGGGCCACGGAGGACGTGCTCTACGAGCTGCAGAACAAGTTCCTGCTGCTGGAGAGGAGGCGGCCCGAGGAGAAGGTGGTGGTGCAGGAGGTGGTGGTCACCCAGAAGGACCCGAAACTCCGTGAAGAGCACAGCCGGCTGGGCCGCAGCCTGGATGAGGAGGTGGGCCGGCGGCGGCAGCTGGAGCGGGAGGTGCAGCAGCTGCGGGCCAGTGTGGAGGAGCAGGAGGGCCTGCTCAGCTTCCAGGAGGACTGCAGCAAGAAGCTGGCTGCGGAGAAGGAGCTGCGGCAGCTGCGCTTGAGGATCCAGGAGCTGCAGACAAGGCCGCCGGCGGTGCAGGAGAAGATCATCATGGAGGAGGTGGTCAAGCTGGAGAAGGACCCAAACCTGGAGAAGTCCATAGGCACCCTGCAGCGAGGCCTGGACCAGGAGAAGGCCCGGGTGATGGAGTTGAATCGGGAGTGCAAGAACCTGCAGGCCCAGATCGACATCCTGCAGACCACCAAGTCTCAAGAGAAGACCATCTACAAGGAAGTGATCCGGGTGGAGAAGGACCGGGCGCTGGAGGGAGAGCGGTCACACGTGTGGGAGCTGCTCAACAGGGAGCGAGCAGCGCGGCAAGGGCGGGAGGAGGAGGTGCAGCGGCTCTGCCAGCGCATCGACAGGGCCGAGGCGCTGGGCAGGACCTGGGCTTGGGAGGAGGCCGAGCTGCAGAGGGCACGGGAGCAGGCGAGCCAGGAGTGCAGGCAGCTGCAGCAGGAGCTGCACAAGCTGGAGCAGCAGAAGCAGCAGAAGGTGCTGCACCTGCAGGAGGAGTCACAGCTGCTCGGCCAGAAGATGGAGAGCGAGCGGCAGCGAGCAGCCCAGCGCGACCAGGCGCTCTCGCAGCTCGAGGCAGCCATCCTCCGCGAGAAGGACCAGATCTACGAGAAGGAGCGGGCCCTGTGGGACCTCCACACCAGAGTCAGCCGAGAGGAGCTCAGCCAGGAGACCCAGACGCGGGAGACCAACCTGTCCACCAAGATCTCCATCCTGGAGCCCGAGATGGGGAAGGACATGTCCCCATATGAGGCCTACAGGTGTGGCATCATCGACCGCAGCCAGTACCTCCAGCTGCAGGAACTCGAGTGTGACTGGGAGGAGGTCACCACCTCGGGCCCCTGCGGGGAAGAGTCGGTGCTCCTGGACCGCAAGAGCGGGAAGCAGTACTCCATCGAGGCCGCCCTCCGTTGCCAGCACATCTCCAAGGAGGCGTTCCACCTGTACAAGGACGGCCGGCTGCCCATCTCTGAGTTCGCCCTGCTCGTGGCAGGCGAGACCAAGCCCTGCTCCTCGCTCTCCATCAGCTCCATCATCTCCAAGGCCCCAGTCGCCTCTCCCGCCCCCCAGAGCACTAGTTTCTTCTTGCCTGCCTTCTCCCTGGTGCTCGGTGATGACAGCTTCCCTATCGCCGGGGTCTACGACATGACCACAGACAACAAGTGCAGCATCAAGACAGCCGTGGCCAAGAACATGCTGGACCCCATCACTGGGCAGAAGCTGCTGGAGGCGCAGGCAGCCACAGGGGGCATCGTGGACCTGCTCACCCGGGAACGCTACTCGGTGCACAAGGCCATAGAGCACGGGCTGATCGAGAACACCTCAACACAGAGGCTGCTCAACGCCCAGAAGGCCTTCACGGGCATCGAGGACCCCGTGACCAGGAAGAGGCTGTCGGTGGGCGAGGCTGTGCAGAAGGGCTGGATGCCCCGCGAGAGCGTGCTCCCGCACCTGCAGGCGCAGCACCTGACCGGTGGGCTGATCGACCCCAAGCGGACCGGCCGCATCCCCGTGGCCCAGGCCGTGCTCTCCGGGATGATCAGTGACGAGCTGGCCCAGCTCCTGCAGGACGAGGCCAGCTACGAGAAGGACCTGACAGATCCCCTCTCCAAGGAGAGGCTGAGCTACAAGGAGGCCATGGGGCGCTGTCGCAAGGACCCCCTGAGTGGCCTGCTGCTGCTCCCGGCCACGCTCAAAGGGTACTCCTGCTACCGCTCTGCCTCCCCGACGGGGCCGCGCTGCCTGCGCTGATAGGCCCAGCAGTCAAGGGAGTGTGTGTGAGAGGGCCGCGGTGGGGTCGTGCACCCCTCGCCCCCCCAAGCAGCCTGATCAACCCCAGGGAGTGGGCTTCCCACTGTGTGACCGCTGTCTCATTATTCAGCCGTTCTTGGTGTTGGGCTCCCTCCCTGACTCTGATGCCCGATCCATCCCCGGACCACAGGGTCAGACCTGTTCTCCCTCCCCCCTCCCCCACCTGGTGCTTCCAATAAACGCATCCACCCAGCCTCTCATTTACATCTGGGGACATGGAGTCAGTTTGTCTGGGGATGGGCACAGGGACAGCACTTCTGGGCGTGAACACGCCCAGCTCTCCCTGCGTCTGGAGAGGCCGTGGTTCTGTTGAGTGTGGGAGGTCAAGGAAAGAGGTTGTGGGACATGACACAAACCCTCCCATCAGCCCTTCCTCCCACCCACCCTCCCCGGTTTGCCCACCGTCTCTGTTCTGTTCTGGGTCTCTCGGGTCAGGCCAGAAAGTGCCTTTAGCCCTCCTGTCAGTGTCCCTGTTACAGCAAGTCCCGACATCCCCCCGAGCAGAATCACACGAAAAAAATTCAGAAAGGTGTCACTTTTATTTCCTGTTCTTAAAGCCAGAGGCAAACTAACATAAGCATATCCCAGGTGAACAGACAATTCCTGGACCAGCCACACATTCCCTGACCTCACCTGGGGCAGGGACACGTCCTCTCCTCTCCCTCACCCCGCTTCCTGTTAACTTGGGACTCAACCAGAACGCAAACATTTTAAATCCAAAAAGACCAGCAGGGGTTGCCCGTTCCTTCGGCATCTGGATCTACAGCCGAGGGCTGGGGCATGGCAGGGGTGCTTGGCTGCAGCCCGGCAGCTTCCTGCCCGCTCCTTGGCACCTGTGCCCGGGGTCTGGGCTGTAATGCGCCCCTCTCCGGCACGGAGCATCTGTGCCCCATCTTGAAACGACACTGCAGACCCAACAAACAACACGGAACTCGCTAACCTGCTGACGGGACTAACCCAAACTCAGCCTCTCCTGGCTGATGCCCAATTCTTCAGAGCTTTTCTATCTCCCCAGATTCATTCTCTTTCTTGGTAGTGGGTGGGACAGCAGCTGGAGAGAGGATTGTAGGTGGTGGGTCTCATATTCTCAACGGCAGAACCGCTCCAGCACGCACTGGCGGGGGACCGGGGAGGGCTCGGCAGAGAAGTACGGGTGGGCCAGGGCCGCCTTCGCTGAGATCCGCCGGCTGGGGTCACATTGCAGGAGTTTCTGCAAGAGGGGGGAGGACAGAGATCGTGCCTGAGTGCAGTCAGGGCAGAGAGGAATCACCCTCCTTGGTCCCAGCTGGCTGTCCTCAAACCCACAGCTGCGCACAGCCACACCTCCCACCTCATGAGCCAATTCTGGACACTCTCAGAACCTGGGGACAAAGAGCCAGTTCTGGTCCACCTCGACTGAGTCAGGCCAGGTCTTCTTCAGGCCACTGAAGCCGAGTCATCTCTCCCTTCCTTACTGAGGGCTCCAGATCCCAGTCTGCTTCTGGCTGAGACATACTTCTCTTTGTGCACCCATCAGGGACCCTGGAGCCGGGGGCTAGAGCTGGCCTAGAAGCAGCCTGGAGGGTGGGGGCAGGAATGCAAAGAGCAGGGAGGAGGGAAGGAGAGGCCAACGCTGTCAGAGGTCAGCTGTGCCCAGCTCTTGTGCTCCCATCCTATTATCAGTTGATCCCGACTCACAGCGACCCCACAGCACAGGGTAGAACTGCCCCATAGGGTTTCCAAGGCTGTAATCTTTACGGAAGCAGACTGCCACATCTTTCTCCCGCGGTGTCGCTGGTGGGTTCGAACTGCTGACCTATTGGTTAGCAGTGAGCACCACTGCGCCAGCCGGGCTCCTTGCTCTCCTGCTAGAGTCTCTAAATCCAGCCAGGATGTGGAGTCTCCAGGATGAGTGCTAGGTGGCAAGTCCATGCCATCCTGACGATGAAAATCCTGCCTGCTTTTCCCAGACCCAACACCAGATTCGAGAGAGAATGTGGCTTTGGGGCCTTTGTGTGCAACCTCGTGGCTCTGCCGGATGCCTACTGAGGTCTCCTGGGCCAAGGGGTCACGACGGGGCAGCAGAAGGGGTGGGCGAGGACTGAGGCAGGGGCCCAGGCAGCAGGGACAGCCTGCTCCGCACAGATGAGCCACCGTGGAAGGAGGTGATGGGCCTCTGCCAGGAAAAGCTGACAGCATAGATGGGGTCATAACCTCCCCGGCGGGAAATAACCAAAAACACAAGACAAGGAGGAACAAAAGGCAATTCTCACAGTGCAAACACAAAGCTAACTCGGATAGAGGAGTTTTCAAAGGCAAGATGAACACTGGACTCATGGGGAGAGGCTTCCAGGTTGATGAATCAGTACAGGGACAGAGATAAGCCAGTTGGGTACAAGGGTCAGAAAAGTGATTAGCTTCGACTTACAGAAGGAGCTGGGGTTACAGAAGAGGTTGGTGGGCAAAGGGACACTGGATGGAGCAGTAGCCAGCGGAGAAGGCCCTTCCTGCCCTCGCCTCCTGCCCACCTGTACCTACCATGAGCAGATCCTTGCCTGCTGGCTCCAGATTGGGCACAATCTCCTCCAGCCCCTTCCTGGTCCACTTGGGGAAACTGCCCTTATAGTCAGGCAGCTGGGTGACTCCCGGCCACGTGGCTTCACTGGGCGTCCCCAGGGTCCGAAAAATACGAAAGAGCTGGTCAATCTCAGAGTCACCAGGAAACAGGGCTCGGCGAGTTACCTGGAATGGGGAAGAGGAGATGTGTGTCCACAGCTCTGTCAAGCCCAATCCAATACCAGATAAGCAGTCAGAACTGTGAGGGGCAGGGCTTCAAGATCGCTTTCCCAGGGCTGCACTAATAATTCTGGCTTTTCCTGGGATAAGGGCCACTTCATCAGTCCTTTAGCCAGTCCCAAACACCCCTTAAAACCAGCTGCCTTTGAGTCAATTTGGACTCACGGTGACCCCATGTGTGTCAAAGTAGAACTGTGCTCCATAGGGATTTTAATGGCTGATTTTTTTGGACGTAGATCACCAGGCCTTTCTTCCGAGGCACCTCTGCGTAGACTCAAACCTCCAACCTTTCGGTTCGTAGCCAAGTATGTTAACCATTTGTACCACCCTGGGACTCTTAAACACCCCTTAATCCACCTCTAGTAGGAGTATCCAGGAGCCCTGGGGGTGCAGTGGTTAAGCACTCAGCTGCTAGTCAAAAGGTCGACAGTTTGAACCCACCAGCTGCTCCATGGGAGAAAGGTCTGTGGCAGCCTGCTTCTGTAAATATTATAGCCTGGTCCTCTCAGGGGACATCTAGGTTAATTGGCATTAACATAGCTCACAAAGAAAATGTTCTACATCCAACTTTGGTGAGTAGCGTCCGAGGTCTTAAAAGCTTGCGAGTGGCCATCTAAGATACATCTACTGGTCCGATCCTGTCCAGAGCAAAGGAGGATGAAGAAAACCAAAGACACAAGGAAAATATTTAGCCCAAAGGACTAGAGGACCACGTGAACCAGTCTCCGTTAGCCTGAGCCCAGAAGAACTAGATGGTGCCTAGCTACCAACACTAGAGGGTCCCAGAGTGGAAGAAAAATGTAGAACAAAATTCAAATTCACAAAAAAAGACCAGACTTCAAACTGGTCTGACAGAGACTGGAGGAACCCCCGAGACTATGGCCACTGGACAGCCTGCTAACTCAGAACTAAAGCTACTCCTGAAGGCCACCATTCAAAGATGAGACAGGGCTGTGGAACAAATGGCAACCCACGTGAGGAACGTTCTTCTTAGCTCAGTCAAGAATACGAGACCAAATGGGCAATACTTGCCCAAAAGCAAAGACAAGAAGGCAGGAAGGGACAGGAAACCTGGACAAGTGGTCACAGGGAACCCAGGTTATAAAGTGAAAGGGGGAGCATGCTCACATATTGCAGGGATTGCAAACAATATCACAAAACAATTTGTGTACAAATTTTTGAATGAGAAACTAATTTGTGCTGTAAACTTTCACCTAAAGCACAATAAAATTAAAAAAAAAAAAATGACAGCCTGGGAAACACTGTGGGGCACTTCCACTCTGTCTACAGGGTTACCATAGTTGCAATAGACTCAAGGACAATGGGTTTGGGTTGTTTTTTTTTTTGTTTGTTTAGTAGGAGTAGCAGGGTGGCCCACCTCCCGCCCCAGCAGGACACTGCCTGTGGCCTCCCTGTGGCCATGCTTTGTCCCTCTCTCTACCATCTCTGCAAAGATGCAACCGATGCTCCAGACATCCACAGCAGTCGAATAGAACTTGCTGCCCAAGAGGATCTCGGGGGCGCGATACCACAGTGTCACCACCTATGGGGACAAGAAAACAGCATCAATCGGGGTGACTGACTGTGCAGGCAACATTCCTTCAGCTGCCCTTCTCTCCCCTTTGCCCCGGCAGTACCTCGTGGGTGTAGGTGCGCAAAGGCACCCCAAAGGCTCGAGCCAGCCCAAAGTCTGCCAGCTTGATGGCTCCCAACTCATTAATGAGCAGATTCTGGGGCTTCAGGTCTCGGTGGATGACCCGATGAGAATGGCAGAAATTCACCCCCTGCAGTAGCTGGAAGAGGTAGCTCTGCAATAGTGAGCATGAGAAGCAGCTGGCTAAGCGGAAGAGGCCTGGCTGAGAAGGGTGTTACCTCCTCTTCCCCATCAGTCCCTTGGTACCTTGACTAAGTGCAGGGGGAGCTCAGAGGCCAGGGTGGAGTCCATGTACTTCTTCAGGTCCTGGCTGAGGAACTCGAAAACCAGGTAAAGCTTCTTCTCGCTATGTACCACGTCCAGCAGCCTGGCAGGGAGACGCCGGTGAGGACGCGGCTCTCAGCAAGACAGACGGGTTCAGCGTTCGCTGTCTCAGCTTCCCTGCCTCCTTCCCCAACTCACCTGACAATGTTGGGGTGCTTAAGTTCTTTGAGAAGGGAGATCTCCCTGATGGCGGTGCTTGGGACACCCTCGGTCTCCCTGCAGGAAAGGAGGGTACAGAACAAGCATGGAGTCAGGGAGCAAGTAACACCTTGGAGGTGGGAGGGTGCTTCTGGGGTGAGGGGGGTCACCTCCGGGTTCCTTATTCCCTTAAAGGTGGCCCATCCCCCAGCAATGGGGACCCTGTGCTCCTTGTCTGTATTTATCACTCACAGAGCAGGGCCCGTGGGCAGCCCCTAGTCAGCGTGAGGGAGGGGGCAGTGAGATGGGGTGAGGATGAGGAAGGGCTACACCTTTGTGACTGCCTCACTGTAACCAGGCAGCGCTCAGAGAAGGAGCTGGATGTAAAATTCTGAGACGAGGAAACGGACATGGTAGCCCCTGGGTTGTGGCTCGCCCCTGGGCCCGGGGGTCTCAGGGGCCAACCCAGCACTCACAAATCCAGCCTGATCTTCTTTAGGGCCACGAGCTGCCCAGTCTCCTTGTTCTTGGCCTTATACACCACTCCATAGGTACCCTCTCCGATCTTCTCTACCTTCTGGAACACATCCATGACCGCAGAGCTGCCCAGGAAACAGACGGCACCTGGGGCATTCGCCCCCCCATGCCCAGCACCCTGGCTCCCCCGCTCCAGCACCCATATAACACCCCTGCCCAACTCCCACCCAGACTTCCCCAGCTCCCAAGGCCTGAGGCCCACCCAGTTCCCCACCCCCTGCCCCCAGCCCATCCCTGGGAACCTGGCTTGCAGCCCCAGGACCAGCCCAGGCAGGAACCCCAGTCTTGCAGGTCCTGCACCCCAGGGGGGCCTGGAAGCCTGCTGCACCTGTGCCTGCTACGGCATGCAGGAGAGGCCAAACTTCCAATGCCCCTCCTCTGCGCTGCCAATCCCAGGTTCTGGGGGGGAAGGCCGCCCAGAGGGCCTGCCCAGGGGCCAGGGACAACTCGGGTCAAGGTCAGGAGTTGGAAAGGGTTTCTGAAGCCACCATACTGTCCTAGGCTGCAGTCAGGGCTGAGGGGGTAGGCCCAGCCTGTTTGGCGACGCTCGGCCTCCTCTGAGGACAGAACTTCAGCGGGAGCAGCCCCCCTGCATCCTGGGCCCCCCACCCAGCTCCTCTGCCCCTGGCACCCTCCCCTCAGGCCCCCAGCCCGGAATTCACCAGAAACCCCGCGTTCCCTGCAGCCTCACGGCAGGCAGACTGCCTGCTCCACGGCTCCCCCTCCTGGCCCCAGCCGGCGCTACACCACGTGCACACATTGCAAGGTCACGCCCCCTGAGGCCTTTATTCACGAGGACCTTCTGGAACTCTCCATGACTCCACACAAGGTACAGGATGTCTGTGGCCCTCAGCGCCCCAGAGTGCGGCCTCCGGGGGTAGGGGTGCCAGGCTTTGGTGCCTGTTCTCTGTGTTCTCACTGCTGACACAATCCCAAATTAGGGGAAGGGCTGGGTTAACAAGCCCTCGTCTCTACTCTCCGGTCCCAGCCAATGGCCGTCACTCCAGGGAGAGCTCCTACACCTTCTGGGCAGAACACCAGGAGCATGTGGGGGAGGAGGGGGCTGTCATTTCCTATTGGCTGCTGTCCCTGTCTTGCTGGTACGTCCTCTGCTCCCGGATCGCTTGTTCCAACAAGGGTAGATTCATTCCCTCCACGCAAGTCAGCACGCGGGCCTTCACCACGGCACCTCCATCTGAAAGACACAAACGCCAAGGCCACAGCAGTGACTGACTGGAGGGTCAGCGACACAGTCTACCGATGCATCTAGCTATTTTCCCTCAATTTGCTTAGTCCTGAGTTTTGACAGGAAGGGGTGGAGGCAAAAGGATGGCATACGGGATGATAGCAACTTGTCTACTTGGGCCTCAGAATGGTGGGCCTGACACTAGGTGCCTGCGACTTAGGGAGTGGCCTCAAAATTCTACTTATCCAGGAGGGAGGGCCAGGAAGAGGCACAGGATTCCTAAACATCTCTCTGTTGTCACCTTAATTCCTGCCATCTTCTCTTTAGGTCATAAGAGCCCAGGGTTGAGAAGAGGGGTCTCAGTGACCATCCTAGCTCTCCATTTGTACTAAGGGAAACGTCCCCTTTGGCATCCTGCGACCTATTGGCATTGGACATTAGGGCAAAGAGAAACCCGTATTTAATAAGTCCCAAGGGGCTGAGCTCAGGAAAGGTTGGCCTTGTAGGGGTAACTCATCCCTACCCCGGATGAGATGCTAGGTGGGGCTTTTAGCGATCAGCAGTGACTGATGGATTATGGGAAGATCTGTCGATGTTCACGTGACAACATCTGGGGTTTCCCTAATATAATTTTTTTCTTTTTTTTTAACTCATCTTCTCTTTGCTCTCTGGGCACTTCAATGAATCACTCACTGTTCTAGGCCATTAGTCTGTCTTTTTGATGCAGTCTTGAGATAGAGGCTCTCTGAAGAGATAAAGTGTCCACCTGGCTTTTCTTCTAGTCTAGGCCATCTCTTCGATTTAACACAGCCTGGGGGCAGACTTCAGAATGTCAGGCTGGCTAGGTCCCAGCTTCCAACACAGGCTCCCCTTGGAAGATGAAATTGTTTGAACATGAGGTTGCCCATATGTCTTCAGCTTCTGTTAGCGCTAGAGCCAGGCTGCAGTGACTGGTAGCATGGCCTAGAGTGGGTAAGCCTGGAACACTACCGGCATCAATTGATCGGGGCAGATTGTTGACTCTCATCGCTCAGGACTCTTCAGGAATAGCTGGGTTATCCATACTGATCAATCAAACAGATATTTGCCTAATTATCACTTGGTACTGAGAGGCCTACACCTTCCCTTGTCACATGTAACCCTAAATAATTTTCACACAGCAGCCACAGATGTTCAGGACAACAGAGTGAGAGAACAAGGACAAAATCTAATTGCAGTTGGAGCTGTTACAGGCCTCAAAATTGGATCCTATGTCAAATGTTTCCAAACTTCCTGTGTGAAGATTTTCTTTACCTGACTGAAGTTCACAGAACTTTCCTTCCATTGTATATACATCAGCTCCTTGTTTCTTTCCTTCCCTCTGCCTGGGGAAACCCTTCCCTCTATATTTAAATTGTGGAACAGGTTGCATCACCCTATAAATAGAAGAAGTTACTAAATATGGAAGTGAGCTTCAGAAATATGATTACTATATGGGGCAAATTAATCACACAATAATTATATTTCTGAAGTTCTAATGACTGAAGACCTGACGAGTTGGGGGATGACAGCAAGGACATCACACATGAAGAAAACAAAAGGTCATTAAAAAGACAGGAAAGAAAGAAAAGACCAAAATGGATGTCAGAAGAGACTCTGAAACTTGCTCTTGAACATAGAGTAGCTAAAGTGAATGGAAGAAATGGTGAAGTACAAGAGCTGAACACATTTCAAAGGGCAGTTCGAGAAGACGAAGAAAAGTATTATAATGAAATGTTCAAAGACCTGGAGTTAGAAAATCAAAAGGAAAGAACACACTCAGCATTTCTCAAGCTGAAAGCACTGAAGAAAAAATTCAAGCCTCCATTTGCAACACTGAAGGACTCTATGGGCAAAATACCGAACGACACAAGAAGCATGAAAAGAAGATGGGAGGAATACACAGAGTCACTGTACCAAAAAGAATTAGTTGACATTCATCCATTTCAGGAGGTAGCATATGATCAAGGACCAATGGTACAGAAGGAAGAAGTCCAAGCTGCATTGAAGGCACTGGTGAAAAACAAGGCTCCAGGGATTGACGGGTTACCAACCGAGATGCTTCAATAAACAGATGCAATGCTGGAAGCACTCACTCGTCTACGCCAAGAAATTTGGAAAACAGCTACCTGGCCAGCCGACTGGAAGAGATCCATCCATATTTGTGCTCAATCCAAAGAAAGGTGATCTAACAGATGACAGAAATTATCAAACAATATGATTAATATCATGCAAAAGTAAAATTTTGCTGAAGATAATTCAAAAATGGTTGCAGCAGTACATTGACAGGGAACAGCCAGAAATGCAAGCTGGATTCAGAAGAGGGCATGGAACGAGAGATATCATTACTAGTATCAGATGGATCTTGGCTGAAAGCAGAGAATACCAGAAAGATGTTTACCTGTGTTTTATTGACTATGCAAAAGCATTTGACTGTGTGGATCCTAACAAATTATGGATAACACTATGAAGAATGGGAATTCTAGAACACTTAATTGTGCTCATGAGGAACCTGTACATAGACCAAGAGGCAGTCATTCAAACAAAGCAAGGGGATACTGTGTGGTTTAAAGTCAGGAAAGGCGTGCGTCAGGGTTAAATCCTTTCACAAAACTTACTCAATCTGCATGCTGAGCAAATAATCTGAGAAGCTGGACTATATGAAGAAGAACAGGGCATTAGGATTGGAGGAAGACTCATTAACAACTTGCCATATGCAAGCAAAAACCTTGCTTGCTGAAAGCTAAGAGGACTTGAAGCACTTACTGATGAAGATCAAAGACCACAGCCTTCAATATGGATTACACCTCAACATAAAGAAAACAAAAATCCTCACAACTGGACCAATAAGCAACATCATGATAAATGGAGAAAAGACTGAAGTTGTAAAGGATTTCATTTTACTTGGATCCACAATCAACGCCCATGGAAGCAGCAGTCAAGAAATCAAAAGATGCATTGCATTGGGCAAATCTGCTGCAAAAGACCTCTTTAAATTGTTAAAAAGCAAAGATGTCACTGTAAGGACTAAGGTGCCCCTGACCCAAGCCATGGCATTTTCAATCATGCCATATGCATGTGAAAGCTGGAAAATGAATAAGGAAGATCAAAGAAGAATTGACGCCTTTGAATTACGTGTTGGCAAAGAATACTTAATATACTGCCAGAAGAACGAACAAATCTGTCTTGGAAGAAATACAGCCAGATGCTCCTTAGAAGCAAGGATGGTGAGACTTCATCTCCTGCACTTTGGGCATGTGATCAGGAGGGACCAGTCCCTGGAGAAGGATATCATGCTTGGTAAAGTAGAGGGTCAGCGAAAGAGAGGTGGATTGACACAGTGGCTGCAACAGTGGGCTCAAACATAGAAACGATTGTGAGGATGGCACAGGACTGGACAGTGTTTTGTTCTGTCGTACACAGGGTCGCTATGAGTCGGAACCAAAAGGACAGCATTTGAAGAAGGGTTGTAGGGAGGACGGGAAGGAGTTTCTGGGCAAGACAGGTAGAAAAACTATAAAAATGGGGAAATAGTCATTTGGGGTATTCCTTCTCGCATAAAAAATCTAGAGCAGAGGAGAAGGGACTGAGGTCCACAGGGCAGTGAGAATGTAGTGGTTGGGGCATGAGTAGGAGATAAGGAAGGGGCAAGGAAGACAGATAATTCTTTTGGGAAGTTGATTGTGTAGGGAAGGAGGGCCATAGCTAGGGAGGGATATAGAGTGGAAGATGACATTATTAGTGCTGCTATTTTAATTGTAAGATCAAAGAGGCTTGAGTGCATTATATGCTGAGAGGAAAGAACCAGTAGTGAAGGCTAAGGACACAAAACAGTCAAGAGCAGGAGGGTAGGCTAGGGCTCAAAGCACAGCGGGTGGGCCTGAGCTAGGATGCCCACCCCTTTCGGACTGGAGAGAAGGACTTAATGATGGCTGT